AGACCCAGGAGAACCGCCGACGCCTGCTGAAAGATCAGCGTGCACAGACCGACGCAGGCCTGTGCAGGGGGTGAATTCCCAGGCCCGAGGACCCCTGGCTTCGGCACGGCCCCGGCTCCGCGCAGGGCTCCGTGTGTGCCGGAGCCTCCGCGGCCAACGCTCTGGAGCTTGCACAGCCCTTGGGAATCACGGGAGACCTGCTGGTCTCGGACAAGCCAACGAGAGGCGCCGGCAGAAAAGACAGAGCCCCCAGGCCAGCCAAGAATCCCATCTCCCGGGGCCAAAAGACTGGAAAGGGGTTTTATGGGAGCACCGCTCGCTCTGCCCGCGCAACAAGAAGCGGGGAAGGGCCCTGCGTGGTGGCGCCGGCATCCAGCACGGAGCTGCTCCCAGCGCGCGGGACGCGGCGGCACCCGGGCCGGCGGAACCGATCTGGGATTTGTGCTGGAAAAGGGGTGGGTGGGTCGGAAGTGGCATTCCGAGCTCCCAGAAACCCGAGCTGAATTGCTGGGATGCTGGACGGCGCTCTCGCCCCGGAGGGTGCGGGTTATTCCAACGCCGGGCTCGGCACAGCGCCCCCGAGCCCCTCGGCGATGCCCTCCCGGAGGCAGCGACGTCTCCAACGCGGCCTCGTTTGCGCTGCTCCAGGGAATGCCGCTTCCGTGTCCCCGAGGTGGGAGCACTGCACTGGGCAATGCACAATCATTCCAAGGGAACTCCAGCATCAGGCCCTCGCGTTAAGGAGGAGGCTCCACAAGCTGGGATCTCTCTGCCTGCAGGTAGAGCGCTGTGAATCAAATCTTGTCCAACATGAAAATATCCTTCTTTTTTGCCCCTTTAAACCCCCGTTCCTTCTCTAAAAGCAGCCTTGAAGAAGGGAGACGGATTTCATCCGTCGCTTCCTCGCATAAAACCACAGTCCAAACCAGCTTCGCAATCTCACTTGCTTTGGGCAGAATCAAACTCACTGCGTTTTACTAAACAGCACAAACTCCCACTGGCAACGGAGGTGACAGCGCGGCCAAAACGCGATTCCCTTCCTCTCGCCACCTTCATCCCGAGTGGATTCGTCCTCCGCACTCCGCAGCCCTGGCGGCCCCTGCCCCCTCCTCCCCAGCCCTCCGCCTTTTACCTTCCCTAATTACTGTGCACACACGGGCACTTAAAATAGCCTCTTATGATGCAACTATAAATTGCATTTGCTGCTAATGAGCGGGTGGGATCAGCAGTGATCTGCATTTTAAGCGCTCTCATTGCTCACGCTGTCCTCCCCTGCAGGAGGGCCGGCCACAGCCCATTTCCAGCTCACATTTCCCCAAAGGTCGGTGCAAAAGGATCTTTCCAACCCCGGCTGCCTTGGCTAACGGCAGCGTCGTGGCCAGGTGCGTCCTCACGCTGCTTCTTGTCCCGCTCTGCAAGGCCCAGGAGCTCCCCAAGGCCCAGGAGGTCCCCAAGACATTTTGCAACCCCAGGCAGAAGGTCCCTCCTTA